ACGAGTTTTGACCATGACAGGAAGAGTACCTAAACTGATAATGATGTTCAGTAACAAACACACTCACATGCAACCAACACAAGCCTGCAATATGCACACAATTGCAGCTCTAGCCCTTTCATGTTAAACTCGTATTGAACCTGAGTAATGGATGAAGTAAATATCAGCTTAAAAATATTCAAGCTGCATTCACAACTAGATTCAGTTAAGTTGCTGTTGCTTTTATTATTATAAACTTTACTGTTTCCTTTTGTTGCCTGCCTTTGATCAGCCAATCCTTAAAATGTAACTTTAATGTGTTTTAAAATGTTTGCAACACTCAGAAGAAAGTCAAATTGGCCAGGGAAAAAAAATGCATGTTTGAATACTTTAAGGCGTATGGGAAATAGTTGAGTCAGCATTGAACTGCGGCCAAGAACAAGACTAGTCTGAGTCAAGACGTGACAGGAACGTCCAAAATGTCACTCAAGTTTCTTTGAGTCCAGACAGCAGCTCTGACAGCATGGACAGATGGAGGAGGAATGACTGGTGGGTCTGATTTAATCCCTTGGTGTCTCCAACTCTCTGTGGGTTGTGTATGCCAAGGTACCCATCACTTACAGTTTACACAGCAGGCTACACATGGCAGCTTCATTATATATTGACTGAAATTCTGGAAACCAACCAGTGTGGGTGTCCTGGAAACTGTACCCCCATGCTTTCTCAATTGTTTTTTGATTATTTGAATGTACACAGAGAAAAATGAAATAATAGATATGACATTCTCAGATAGGGCAAATTAAGAGTTTATTCATCCTACTTATACACATTTTGCTTTATTGTTATGGGGGTAGTTTGAGATCTATTTTTCAAAGCTTTGAGACATGAACTGCTTAAACTTCCCCCGCACAATGGAGGTAAATGGAGCTAAAATGATCTAAGAAAGTTTCAAGAGCATTAGACCTTTCCTGACTGACACAAGCTGAGGTGTTAGGGTCCATTGAGAGTCTTGGACATTCAGCATTTCCCTGACAACAGCACTAAACAGTACTTACGTCCCCAGTACTTCTTTGAAGTCATAATGTTCTTTGATGTCTGATGTCTTCTTTTTCCATCCATTTCCATCCTCTCCAAGAGGCATCCTACAATGCTGATCCGATTCGCCACACTACAGCTATGGGGCAAAGGGAACAGAAACACAAAAAAACTGTTAATAAAGACTAAGAGCATGCACGTTAAGATATGACCCTGCGCATGTGTGATCAAATCTAAATGTCTGATCAGGTGGATAAAGTGAAACAATGATTTATATGAAGTGATGTTTAATGAACATATGTGTAAGATATACATTCCCTCAATTCCTTGATTTTGTATCATGTTGCTGTGTGTTTTAACTACTTTCTGATGATGTATCTATCACAAACATTATTCAAGCACCCAGTGGGGAAACTGGATATATGACACCACAATCAACGGGCACTCATTCACTGTATAATGTACTTAATTAAGAGTATTTAGACTGTGGGAGATATTCCACCCCAGTATCCGTTTAATATGTCAATTAGAGTTTGGCTGACTGATTGCTGCATAAAACCTTCATCCATTAAATAAACCATTGATTTTTATGATGAAGTGTTCTGGTTAATGCAGTTTGATTGGACTGGTGGCAAGAAGACAAGTTACTAGTTTCTTCTGATCTGCATGATGACTGATTAATAAGCTCAAATGTCAAATAACGTATAATTAAACATTGAAGCTGAAGGCCTGGCAATTATTGCATTACATTTAAAAAGGACAGTACACTTTTATAAGGCTACGAAAAATGATATAAATTAATAAGAATGAAACAAATTGACAGCGAAAAAAAAGAAACGTGCACAACGAAAAGGAAGATATACAACTTTCCCCCCAAAAGCTACAACCCACAAGAGTCTTTTTTGCTGAGATTCGGCTGGGCAGCAATTGAAAGCAACACAATAACATAAAGTAGGGCAAATAGTGCAGCAGAGACAGTCAAATAAGGGACCATACAGCGTCGCAAAAACAAACGCATGGTCAGTAGAGGCGGATACCAGCTGAGAGAAATGTGCAGTTTTTCTCAAGATGTAACCAGTAATGATTGTCAAATCCACAAATACAAGAGCTCAGGTGAAATGGAAACGGTATTCCACTGAGAAACGTGCGTAACCTGCTCTGCATTAAGGCTGCAGGGCGTGAATGGAAGCAGGGGGTTGAATGGGAATTCAAACGGTTTGCCGGTGCATTACGCCAGACTGACTGAAATTAAGTCAAATGTTCGAGGTGGTGATCATGCAAGTAGAGGCTACAGAGAGAAAAGGCGGTGTGGGTGTGCGAAGAGTAGTACTGCAGCGCTCAAGGGTATGGCAGTCAAAGGAAAGCAGCATCTTTGGGTTAAACCTGCAGATGCTACATGCAGGCGCACAATAAAAGAAGCTTCACAAGTTGAAGTGCTAAAGGAAAAACTACACGATTGATTTTGCATTTCTGTGAATATATGGCTATAGAGAAAAAGACATACCTAAATGGCGATCTGTCGCTGTGATGTGTTCTCCTTGCCTGTGGGAGCGATGTGGTTGCTGTGCTTGTGCGCAGCGTTGGGTCCACTAGACTTCTCCTGACGTCAAGAAAACCAGACGTCTGTGGACGTAGTGCAGCATAGAATCACTCTCTGTTCTCTTAACAACGTGATCTGCGATTCTCACAAAGATAGTTGAGCCGCCGTCTGTTCCATGTGAACAGCTTTTTTTGTGCATCTGCTTGTTGTTTCCTGAAAGCTTCTCGCAGTGCAGTCGATCACGCTGCTGAGTTTGCAGGTTATGCAGACAATTTTAGAGGCACTGCAAAACATGCGTAACGTGTCACTGTGAATAATGTATCACACAGAAATGACAAGGCACTCACAAGCGGCCTCTGGATTATGCAAGGTTTTAGATGCTTACTGAAAATATGCCAAATTAGGGGTAATGGGCATTTGCAGGGAATTAAATATCTGAATTGCCATTAATATTGAGGCAACGCCCTGCATTCATTCTCTTACAGCATCCTCTCTGCTCTGCACTGGCAGGCCAGGCACCCTTTCACAATTCACAGGATAGGGGGGTCATTCCTAGCATTCGGTGCCATTTCAGCTAGGGTATTCAAAAATAAAAAACATAATTTTCCATGTTTTTTTGAATGATGGCTTGTTAAAGTATAAGAAAAATATGTTGGTCAAGCTCAGGATATTATGCTTACATTTTTTTTTTTTTACCATCCCCAGTTACTGTGTGTGCACCCTGTTACTGTGAAACATAGTAACAGGGTGGACGGTAACAGGGTGGACATTTTAGGCTAAACTTGGCTATTGCTACATGTGTGATGATAATCAAGCTAGCACTTGGTGACAACAGAAACATATATTTGATAGATATATTCACCATATTTTCTAAATGTAAAACAAATGATCAGTTCCACTAAAAATGAGCATAACAGGGTGGACATTTTATGCTTTACCGCAATAGTTAAGTTCTTTAAAACATTAGAAAAACGTTGAAGGAAGAACGCATTCACTCTGCTTCTTTAAGATTATTTCCCACTCAAAATGTATCCTTCTTCTTCTTGAGTCATACAAATAGTAGAATAGTAAAGGGGCGTGTCCAGAGGGATTCAAATCAGAGTAAAAGGGGGGACATTCAAACAGGGGACACACACTTTATTTTCAATACAAATGAATTAATAACAACAATTTCAATTTGGTGAGGAATATTAGCAAAAGGGTCATACAACACTCATAAAAATGTAGAATTTGTTTTTATTTCTTTGATTTCTTTTTGTATATCTGTTACAGAAGTTGAGCAAACATGATTGGGGACACAGCAATTTGGCCTACTTGTGCTAAAATCAGAGTAATTATTTAGAATTTTTAATATCCTGGCTAAATAACATTGTTGTTTTATGGTAGAGGGTATAAACATTTAAAACCAAGCTTTTAAAAAATAAGCATTAGACCTTTTTAAATACAAAATATATTATATAATGTGGTGGGGACCTAAATGGCACCGAATGCTAGGAATGGCCCCTAAAGCAATTATGACCCACGATGACTCAAGATAAAAATTCAAGATTCAAGGCTTTTATTTTCATTTGTACATAGCTACTACAGTGTAGTTATGACAATGAGAATCTTAGGTCACAAGATCCTCCAACAGTGCAACACAATAAAACAGATGAAATAGTGCAAAAATATAATATAATAGAAATAGTGCAAGAATAGTCTACAAGTAATTGGAATATTGATATAAATTGCAAACAGGTGAATGTTATGGATGTTCTTTCAAAGGTTCAAGTTCTTTCAAAAGGTTTTAATGTCATATGCACATAAGCTACAGTGTAGAAATGGCAATGAACTTACGTCCCGAGCTCCTCCAACAATGCAACATAGTTATATAAGACATACAATCGAACAAATAAAAAATAAAAAATAAAATATATATGAAATGTTTAAGATTTAGTGCAAAGGGAGATGTATTGATGATCAAACAGACGATATGGGTGGATAAGTTTATTTTATTGTGAATCTTGTATGTTTTTGTGATTTTTATTATTTTTGGGTAAATGGATAGTACACTTGAAAATACCATGTTCACAGTCTTTATTTCATATGTTTCACCATGCATATTGTAAATAAAAGCAATTCTTTTTTTTACTAACCCATCCTCAAAACATCTCAACCCTCTTTCCACGTCCAAACCGTCAAACTAAAGTAAGATTTGGATATTAATTGTGCACAATTAATATGCACAAACAATATCTTAGGCAGTTGAGGATAAAAAAGAAATAACAGAATAAATAAAAACAGGTATGAAAGCAAATTGGTCAGGCCCTGTTCGTTTGTGTGGATCAATCATCAATTGAATGGTCCATAATGTTGGTTGCAGTACTTCTCCCCTCCTGAGGGGGCAGCACTGCTTCAGGTGGCGCTCTCCCCTCCACACAAACACAATACAACCTCAACTTCCGGACAGAAGTTTTCAAACAACACTAGCTAGCAAGCTAGCCGTTACACATTTCTTCTGCTCAGGGATCTACAGGGATTTGGGGTATTTTTGGGTAAGATTTGCTTTTGGGGGGTCAATTCATGTGTTCAATTGAACATGCTTGCACGCGTTTTTTTTTCTGGTAACTGTAAAATATTTAGCGTGGCTGTGTTGTGAGGAAAGCGGCAAGTAAAGCTAACATGCTAACAGCCGCTTTGTCTCATGAAGAGCTGCTAACGCTAACCGACTGAGTTCTCTATGTTTACAACAGTGTTATAAAAAGCGATATAAAGGACTTGTGTATTTTATTTAAACTAAACGAATGTCTATCGGGCCAAATCCGTAATAACTTGTATCTATTTTGGTAGCTAGTGGGCTAGTCTGTTCTTAAACAGCCAGCGATGTCAGCCAGCTCCAAGAGGAGGAGAGCCACCTCTCCCTCCAGCAGCGTCAGTGGAGGGGGCGACCTGGACGAGACCTCCTCCTCCACGCCTGGAAGCGGCAGGAAGAGAAGACGCACCTCCAATGCTGCTCCTGTAGATACGGTAACTGCACTGGATTTACCACAATATTTCTGCATTAAGTTTTCATCTTTTTTTTAATCGATGTTTACCCATTTGTGGCCAAATACTATATTAAGCCAAGTATGATCAAAAACATATGGTGCAAGCGTCTCTTATTTCATATAGGTGTATTAGTAAACATTAATTACATGTTTAGTACATTATTTAATGTTAACATAACCGATATTTTAATGGACCCAAGCCAGTGGAAGAATAAACCACTATGCACTTTTGTTAAGGTTGCTACTAAGTTACTTTAAGATACAGTTTCCCCCTTTTTTGCTATTGCTAACCCTAACCCCCCCCCCAGATTGCTGTATGCCATGAGCTCTTCAATGCTGTCAGGGATTACAAGGATGACCGGGGGAAGCAACTTTGTGACGTTTTCCTAAGGGTACCAAAGAGAAGGTATGTTAATGCTTTAAAAATGTGGGAGGACCTGTCAATAACATCCCTTGTCGATAACAGGGATACCAACCATCATACACTTGCATGTTACATTGAGATTTGACCGTCTGAATAGGGGGTGGGTCTCAGACATAAGGAGATTACAGTGATGCCTGTCTCCCCTTGTTCTTTTTCAGGAATCAGCCTGATTATTATGAAGCGGTGTCCCAGCCGATGGATATGACAAAAATTCAAGCTAAACTGAAGTCTGAAGACTATAATGATGTGGAGCAGCTTACTGGAGATTTCAGGCTCATGTTCAACAATGCAAAATCATTCTACAAGGTATGAAAAACAAACGGTACAAACACAGCTTTTCTATCACTGTAATAAGTGTGTAATAGGACAGTTATTCTGTTAAGTCATATTTCCAGCATCGAAGGTATGTTTATTTTCTTCAACAATCCAGCGTGACACTGAGGAGTATCAGTCTGCAAGCAAGTTGTGGGAGGTGTACTTGCAAACAAGGAATGATTTTCTGCAAAATGAGGATGATGAAGATGGTGATGAAATGATGGATACTCCAGGAATGTCAACGGAGGAAGAGGTAATTGATTTCCCTCAATTGATGTATTAGGTTTGCTTGCATGCACAACTTTTTTTATTACCTTATTTTGGTGTTTAACATCAATAACAAATAAAACATGTATGGTCAATGTTACATGTTTTTCTATAACAAGGACCAAATAACTCATTTAATGAACTTTTGTCTTTTAGACTCCAACTGGCAATTTGAAGGAAGTGTTGGAGCAGCTCTTGGAGGCTATAGTGACCCACCCTGATCCCGCGGGGCGTATGGTCAGCGAACTGTTCCAGAAACTGCCTTCCAAAGTGGTGAGTCCTGAAAGAGTCTTTGGACTTCAAATGATGCCCCTGAGATTGTAATAGATTTGATATTTATAGGCCTGTCTGTCTTTTGTAGCATTACCCCGACTACTATGCCGTCATAAAGGAGCCAATAGATCTGAGATCCATCACTCAAAGGATACAGGTACTGACTGATTACATTAATCCTAAAAGACAACCACAGATATCAGAACATTGTTATGTTTTATTATAAACAGCACTAATTCATATTATTTTCATAGATTGGATACTATAAAAGTATCAATGCCATGGCCAAGGACGTCGACCTGATGGCCAAAAATGCCAAAATGTACAATGAACCAGGATCTCAGGTTTTTAAGGTAAACTCTTTCTTACATTTTATTTTGAAATATAGAATTTAACATCCCAAATGTGATAATTCATATTTGTTTTCGTACTGTATAGGATGCTAATACCATAAAGAAAGTCTTCATCCAGCGGAAGACTGATCTTGAACACGCAGAGCCGACTAAATCCAGTGTTCGCATCAGGTACTAATCAACGCTTTCAATGTTCCTTGTTCATACATTTGTTCTCAAATACAAGTGACTGTATGTGATGTGTCTTGTAAGGAATCGCAGGTCTGGCCAGGGGGATCGACTTTCAGGCGTCAGCGTAGCTCTTAACTACGGCTCAGAGAGTGAGGACGACCCCATGCTCTCTGGTATGTGTCAGCGCTTCAGACGGCAGAGAAACCTTCCTTGTGTTTGGAAAACTAGGACGTCGTCATGTAATGAAAATGTACATGTTTGCAGGGTCTGTGTGCTACGACGAGGGAGAGTCAGAGGCTGAGAGTCAGAGTTCTAGTATGGAGATGAGCAACCCAATCTTCCAGCTGTATGAAGCTGTGAGGGGGGCCAGGAACAGCCAGGGCCAAGTCTTCTCTGAACCTTTCCAGCACCTTCCCTCTCGCAGGGAGTATCCCGACTACTTCACGCAGATCAAGCTGCCCATCGCTCTGACGCAGATCCGGTAAGGAGGGATCCTTCATGGATATCATGTTTTTTGTTGTTGTACAGGCTAAAGGCACAAACATGGACCAAACAATAACATATAGGCGATGACATTCCCATCTCAGACAACATCTAAAACAGAAGAAATAAAGATACCCCTTCAACATTTCACAAACAAAAATAGGTTGACAACCAAATGCCACCAAAAACACGACATGGCAAGCGTATTTTTTGTTCCTTTAATCCCACTCTTCGTTAGAGCAAATTATTTCCCATTTCATGGCGTGTTGAGCCACCCTTTGATTTTTTGTGGCAATCATTTTTTCCAAAAGAAATTGTATTTTGAATCTACTCTTCAAACACCTCAAATTTAAGATTACACGTTGATTGAGTTTTAAAAATATGTATTTTATCCAGCGATATCAAGTTTAGCATTGGAATTGTGTTTGTTAAAAAGTTAGTGATAGTGTTTGTTTGTTGATATTTGTAATAACACTGGTGGCGGGGTAAATGCACCTTTATCCAGCAATTGAGTGTTTTAAAGAGAAACATCCGGTCCTTAATAATAATTGTAATCCATTCTTTTAGAGCAAAGATGAAGAACCTCGAGTATGAAAATGTGGACCAGATGGAGACTGACCTCAATCTGATGTTTGAGAATGCAAAGCGCTACAACATGCCGAACTCCAGCATTTACAAACGGGCCTTTAGGCTTCAGCAGATCTTGCAGGTAAGGGTGTCTGCTGTTTTCTTTCAAGGCATGCTGGAAGATGGAATGAATTGAATTCACTATAATAAGAAACAGGCACTGAGTGTCATTGTCCTCTGAGTGTGTCTGATGACTTGTCTCTTGGTATAGGCGAAAAAGAGGGAACTCCTGAGGAGAGACGATGAGGACGGAGACAGCATTCTGTCATCTGATGCAGGGAGCGTCAAGAGAAAGAGGTATACAGGTTTTAAATTTAACATCCATTTCAGTTGCTTGCTAACAATAAAAAACACATCACTCCTGAAGCTTTGTTTTTTCGGACTTTGTTACCATCCAAGCTGATCTATATATCCCGCTTTCATTCTTTTTAAGCCACAAGAAAAATGTGAAGAAGAACCGAATGAAAACCCTGTATGCTGCAGTGACTGAGGCTCGGGAGGTGGGAACCAATCGCCGTCTCTGTGATCTGTTCATGGTCAAACCATCCAAGAAGGACTACCCTGACTACTATAAAGTCATCCTGGAACCCATGGACATGAAGACCATCGAGCACCACGTCCGCAGTGAGCGCTATGCCACAGAGGAGGCTCTCATGGAAGAAATGAGGTTGATGTTCCGAAATGCCCGGCATTACAATGAGGAAGGGTCTCAGGTAGAGCCTCTTTGCTATTACTGAATTCAAAACAATTCTGGCATGTAGTTCATTTCACTGATCATACTGGTTTTTGGTGTAGGTTTACAATGATGCTGATATTCTGGAGAAGATACTGAAGGACAAGCGTAAAGAGTTGGGACCTCTGCCAGAAGAAGAGGATGTGGGATCTCCCAAACTGAAACTGAGTACGTTCTGATCATCATTTTCACTTGTTTTATCTCATTCACTTCAAATCTGATGCACCTTACCAAGTCTATATCACATTTCCTAACATTCAAGACAACCAGGATTTTAGTCATTTACTTTGGTATAAAATTGAACTGCCGACTTCTGAAACAACTCAATAAAGATAAGATAAGATGGACTTTATTAATCCCAATTTGGGAAATGTTTTTGTTGCCGCAGCATTAAACAAAACAAGGCATTGCACATGACAACAAATTCAAATAGTAGAAATAAACCATTCTAAAATAGAAACATCTCAAGATAGAAATAAACCAGCATTAGAGAGTAAGAAGAAATACAGATGACTGTTAAAATAACAAATCTATAAACTGTCTGACAAATAAAAAGCACTATTGAAGGGCCACTTTTCTGTTAACACAATAAACAGAATATAAGCAGGATATTATTCAAGTTATCAGTGAAAGCTAATCCAACACAGTTAACAAACTAATCCCATCAAAATGTACCGTACCCCCAACACAATAAAACGTTGAAGCTATTGGCTAGCTGAGAGTGCATTACAGAAATGTTGCATGTCCTCATGTTGCTTTTGGTGGCACTGTTTCAATTTCTTTTTGGATATAAGTCCATTTCCCCTCTGTGGGAGTAATAAAGGTATTCTGATTCTGATATACAATTCTGTCTAATTTTGAGGGTATTTTTTGTTCTCTAGGAAAAAGTGGTGTTTCTCCAAAGAAGTCCAAATACCTCACCCCTCTCCAGCAGAGGTTAAATGAGCTCTATGACGCCGTGCGCAACTTCACCGACCGCAGAGGCCGCCGTCTGAGCACAATCTTCCTGCGCCTGCCATCTCGTGCCGAGTTGCCTGACTACTATGCTACCATCAAGAGACCCATCGATATGGAGCGCCTGCGAAGCCATATGACGGGCGGCCGTTACCAAGACACAGAGGCCTTGGTGGAGGACTTTTCCCTCATGTTCAACAATGCCTGCATTTACAACGAGCCGGAGTCTCTGATCTACCGCGATGCTCTGGTGCTGCACCGGGTGCTGCTGGAGACACGCAAACAACAGGAGGGGGGCGAGGACTCGGTGCCCGCTGCGGTGGGTCCTCTGGTGCGAGAGCTGATCCGGAACCTGTTTGTGTCCGTGATGGGCCACCAGGACGAAGAGGGCCGATGCTACAGTGACTCTCTGGCTGAGAGCCCCGCTGTGGATCCAGCAGCCCCCGAGAAACCACCGCTTAACTTTGATGTCATCAGGATGAACGTGGACCGAGGCCGCTACAGGAGGCTGGACGTGTTTCAGGAACACATGTTCGAAGTGCTCGAGAAAGCAAGGAGGCTACACAGGTATATTTGAGTAAAACTAAAAGGGTATGGGCTTATAATAATAATAATAATAATAATAATAATATTGGGAGGGATGAAACCCTCTTTAATGGTCACACATGCAGAGCACACAGCACACACAGTGACATTTGTTCTCTGCATTTAACCCATCCTAGTGCCAGGAGTCTAGTACTAAGAGCAGAAGGCAGCTATTGTACAATGTAGAAACAAACGAAAAATCTGATACAGTTACAAAATAACAACAACAAATGGGAGAAATGCACTTTTTCATGTTTCAAATATAATAATAAAGCTTTATTTATATAGCACTTTTCATACAACTCATGCAGCTCAAAGTGCTTTATAAAATGACACATCACAAGTTAAAAACTAACAACAAGAAGTTCCCCTCAAATGCAGCAAAATATAACATTTGATCCGATAGACACAAGGAGGTCAAATGTATGATAATACAAATCAAATAAATAATGGTTTCTCTCTGACAGATAAGACACAAGACAACTGAGTCGATATAACAATATCAAATATAAAACAAAGTGAATAAATAGGTACAACAGAAAGAAAAAGATTAAAACAATATAAAGGTAGGTAAATAATAAAGACTAAAAGAACATTTAAAGTGGGGGGGGGGGTTGCTAATAAAAAGCTAATCTAAAAAGATGTGTCTTTTAGCTGTCGTTTAAAAATGCTTTTTTAGATTCCTTTTATCCATTTGTGATTAACTGCAATACCCCTTTGTAGTTATTCTGTTCTTACAGGACTCCTATAGTCCTTATTACAAGGTTTTACTCAATTCAAATACAACAATACAAGTCAACAATAAGATTGCATCAACTACTGAAATCCTCGCTTGTATATTTTTGCCATTTCTGTCCAGTGTTATATGCTTACAAATAACTCTTAAGAGCCCTTCAGATTTGTTTTTGTCTTTACATTGAAATGATATGTCTAATTGCCATCTTTTAAATATGTAATTATGCCCAAGTATCTTATTTTTAGTGTACTGTAACACATGTGTTCTTTCTTGCTGAAAAACTGGTGCTTCAGACCCCGTTTACACGAGAACTAAACGGGTTGGATCTGCATAGTTTCTCTTGCGTATAGCCCTTTCATTTACACGAGGCCGTAACAAAACGATAGAAACGGCCCCACAAACGATAACGGGTCCCAAGGTGGATAGATTTGCAAACGAAACGCTCTGGGGGGTCAAACGGCTCTGTGTAATCGCCTCTATACGATCATTTCCCGATAGATGAAGCCATAGCCCCGCCTCTCCCCACCTCTGCTGCTCACTGCTGTAGCGTGGTCAGTGCTACTGCTACTGACCATGCTACAGATGTTAGTACAACATCTACAGCTCGACCATGCATGCTACAGATGTTAGTGCAAAATCTACAGCTCCTCTACCACAACCATCAGCAACAAGTGGACATGGAGAGTTACATGAACTACCACATGTTGCTAAATCCACCAAGGAGCATAAACAGAAGGGCAACCATGCTCCGGGGTCTTCTTCGCTGCTTTTGGTGTATTTTGTGGCGGAAGTTACAGCGCCACTTACAGTCCCGGCATATGTACTACAGCGTTTCCAGCGTTCTCGTGTGAACAGACACGTCAAATGAAACGAATACGTGTGAACGGAATACTTTTTTGAAAACGCATAGCCTACTGTGCATACCCGCCAACCTTACCGATTTGGGCGGTACTCTACCGCTTTTGACATGTTTCTACCGCCTACCGACTTAGCTGGCTTTCCCTACCGATTTTCAATCTTCCCAAACTATAACAAATAAAAATGACACTCCATAGACACTGGACTCGACTTNACACAACACATTAAGTGATTTTCTTGCTTTTATTGCTCTTGCTTGGCTTTGCCCCTTTCAATTTAAGTAAAACCTGCACCAAAGAAAGAAATTAGTATTTAAAGCCAAGCAAGAGCAATAAAAGCAAGAAAATCACTTAATGTGTTGTGTTATCACAGAGGATGGTCTGAATACAGTATTTTACTGTGAAATAATACAGTAAGATGTTGTGAAATGCTGGTAATCATTTATCCTGTACATTCACAGTAATTAACTGTGCCTGCATTGATTTCACTGTTAAATTCAAAATGACAGTATTATATTGTGAACATTACAGGTAAAGACTGTAAAGTGGTAAAACAGTAATTTATTGTAAAATATTACAGCTAAATATTGTGAAATCATGGTAATATTTTACAGTGTAGGCAATCAGGCTCAGAGGTAGAATGGCTTTGTTTTAGGCAGCTAAGAAATAGCTTCACATCGCAAATCAAAGTCTAAGTCTAAGTATTATCTGTCAGTTACCACAAAAAACCTGAATAATCCTAGNTGGTAAACTGACAGATAATACTTAGACTTAGACTTTGANAGTAAAATAGACATGATCTAATGGACCCTTATTAGGCTACAGGCCATGACGGATATACAATGCAACAAAAAAGATGGTACTAGCGGGACAGAGTATGCACTGCATACTCTGTCCCGCTAGTACCATCTTTTTTGTTGCATTGTATATCCGTCATGGCCTGTAGCCTAATAAGGGTCCATTAGATCATGTCTATTTTACTCAACACATTTTTAAACTGTGTTTGTTTCTTCTACCTTTGTTCAGGGGAGCTTTCTCAGAGGTGGTTCTAGCAGAGGAGAAGAGGACCCAGAGGCTGGTGGCCATCAAGTGTATCCCTAAGAAAGCGTTGGAGGGCAAAGAGAACAACATCGAGAATGAGATTGCGGTACTACACAGGTACGATCACCAAAGTTCCTCGTCATCCGTTGGCTCACGCTTTGTGTCCATCGGGAGGAATTACTCAACCATACATGTACAGATGCAAAATATATGCAAGGGGTCAATTGAATGGGTAACTAAATGCATGGTGTCAGTAGAAACAGTAGGATTGTGCACCGGAAATGTCAGGAGTAAAGAAGATAGACCTATTTTTAGTGTCCCTGTTGCCAGGGCAACAGCACACAGAGGCGGAGATGGTGTGGAGTTCCCCGCAGCAGTGTATTGAAGAAAGAGAAAGAGACATAGAGGGTGGAGAAGTGGAGATGGGGGTAGGGTAAGAAGGAGAGCGATATGGCAGAGTGGGAGGAGTGGAGTTTGGCTAAATACTTTAAGTCACGATTAAATAAACAGGACTCATGCGAGTGGTAGACTAGACGAGGTATTCCCTATTCCTAAAAGTCACAGCCCAGCTGCTGCTATGTAACAGTGATGGTTTGTTCATATGCTTTTGACTCAGGAGCCCAGAGAGATGGCTGACTGTCTGTTTACTGGTTCACAACAATAAACAATACTATTTTGTGCATCTGAGAATAAAATGTGTTATAGTTATTCTGTCAAGCCCTGTACCTCTTATCCAAAGCTGATCTTTGTTTCCGGCTGTGAAGCGCTGGCTATTGTCCTTCTAGGCAAGAGTACTGTATCTGAAGCTTCTCCGTGTTCTGATCTGAGGGTCTCTTTCAGTCTGCATTTTAGCAGAGGAGGGGTGAACACATAGGTTTGATCCCAATTAACTGAAGGGCTTTTCATAGAAAAGAGGGAACATTCAGCTCTAAATTTGAATTATGCAGCAAGAATGCCATCTGGTGACCAACTTACAGTAAGCAAGAGGGGTTGAATCTCAATAAAAAATGCAACATATTCTATCTGATGATTTTTGTTCCTCAGAATCAAACACGCTAACATTGTCACACTGGAGGACATCTTTGAAAATACATCCCATCTATATCTTGTCATGCAGCTGTAAGTCTTCCTCTTTAACTTACACAATGGCTTATGATATAAAAGAAGACATGAATGTGGATTTATTTACTGAAAATTGATTTGCATTCATTTATTAAAAAAATGCCACATTCTCTGGTTCATCATTTATTAAAGGACTGTTTGTGGCTTTTCTCTGTGTAAAATCATAGTAAATTGGATATCTTTGGGTTTTGTGCCGTTTGTTTTGACCTAAAAAATGCATGTTGCAATGGTATCAGAGAACGTGTAATGGTCGTCTTTCATTTTTTTGTTTCAATTAGCTGTAGGTTATATCATCTGAAATACTCAAAATAGCGTTTATCTGCACAACATATGCAAATGTCAATATATGTCTTGCGTGTACTTTTACACTAAATGTATTTAAAATTCAGCCTGATTTAGTTAAAAACGTTTATATCCAGGGTTTAAAACATGGTTTTTTTGCGCTTTATTTGGCTGTATGAGCCTAACACTTTGATTTTTACCTGGCAGGGTATCTGGAGGTGAGTTGTTTGACAGGATAGTGGAGAAAGGTTTCTACACTGAGAGAGATGCCAGCCAACTTATCCACCAGATATTGGATGCAGTCAAATATCTCCACGATATGGGCATCGTCCACAGAGACTTGAAGGTATTATTTCTCACGGAAGACAGGAATATAGCTGCTCAATCTGGCTTGCAGTTGACCCCTTCTCCCTTTGCAAACCCTCCTCTTTGATGCCTCTTCTTGTCTTTGCAGCCAGAGAATCTGCTGTATTACAGTATGGACGAAGACTCTAAAATTATGATCAGTGACTTCGGATTGTCGAAGATTGAGGGAGCAGGCAGTGTCATGTCCACAGCCTGCGGTACGCCTGGATATGTGGGTAAGGCATTTATTTTGCTGGTCTGCCAGACTCTCCTCGCCACCCCCTCTCTTTCTTGTGAGCTCAGTGCCTGTTATTTCAGCTGATATCCCCTCTTTATTCATTGAGTTGTGAGAGGCTCTTTCGTCCACTACTGAGTCAATTGCAAGTGTTTCAGAAGGGCTCTCTACCTGTTCGACATGACCCACTAGATCACATGGTATTACTGAAAGGTCAAGATGACTTGAATACACCCCCACTTCTACCCTGTAGCGTATATTTTCCTGAATGTCTGCTGTGTGTTTCACAGCTCCCGAGGTGCTCGCTCAGAAGCCGTACAGCAAAGCAGTGGACTGCTGGTCCATAGGAGTTATTTCTTATATTCTGTAAGTAAGCCCCTTAATCACTGGGAAGTGTGTCAAGTGTGAGTTTTATACTGAATATTATACAATATCACTCCCACAGGTTATGTGGATACCCTCCGTTTTACGATGAAAACGATGCCAAGTTATTTGAGCAGATTCTGAAAGCAGAGTATGAATTTGACTCTCCGTACTGGGATGACATCTCAGATTCAGGTACTTCTGATTATTAAAATATGTACGTATAATATTATAACTAATCAGATTGGACGTATAATACCATGATTTTTGTCTGCAGCCAAAGACTTCATCTGTCACCTGATGGAGAAAGAACCTTTGAAGAGGTATACATGTGATCAGGCGCTTCAGCACCCATGGTAAGAGAGTCAAATACTTATTACCTTTATATATAGAAAAGATACTCATACTTCTTGAAAACAATAACAGCCATTTTCGATATGTTCTGTCAAATGTTAGACTAAATTAAAATAAGGAGAAAATAGAAAAGGACATACATTATATCATATCAATAAAAAGATCATCGACCAGCAATCAGCTAACATTTATTTTCATTATCAATAAACCCATTGCCTATTTTATTCATTCATTTATTAATCTCTTAATAAAATGTTAAAACAAATCACATTCTAATTTACAAGCCGAAACTGACACTTTCAAATGCCTTTTTTTACTCATTATGATGTTCATTACTACTGTGTTTGTGAGAAAGAAAATGATAACATCTTCTTATTTGAGAAACAGGAATTAGCTAAATGTTTGCATTTTTTAAGGAAAATGTAACAATTAATCAAGTATTTAAAAAACATGCCGATATATTTTTCTTCAAATCGACACAAAATGCAAAGGATACGCTCTAGTAATGGTCTTTTACTGAATTTCACTTCAGTGATTGTTGTTGACCTTGCAGGATCTGCGGAGACACAGCTCTGGACAAGAATATCCATGAATCTGTCAGCGCTCAAATCAAGAAGAACTTTGCCAAAAGTAAATGGAAGGTCAGTGCCTGAACCACAGAGCGGCCTGCTGAGAGAGCACATTCAGTACGCCTGTGCTTCTCCCTCAGTAGCTGTCACACACAGATTGTTTTCCCTTTCTCTCTCTCTGTCCATGAAGCAAGCATTTAATGCCACAGCGGTGGTGCGCCACATGCGGAAGTTGCAGCTGGGCACAAGTCTCGAGGGACCGAGTCAGATTACTCCCACAAGTCCCTGCCATGGACATCTGCTCCCAGAGGAAGAGGCGGAGGACGAGGAGGAGGAGGAGGAAGACGAGTTGGGGAATGGGGAGGAGGAGAGCTGTAAGTCATCACTTTACAGTCAACAAACAAACACTATTTTTTAGTCATATCAGACGTGCACATTAAGTTAATTAAACTAAATGTATTACATACTGTATAATGCTGCATTGTAATTTCACAGCATTTAAACTGTCTAAGATTGTGGGGCCAAATGTACAATCTTTCAGTTGATCTTTCTCAAATCAAACCATCTATCCTATATTAAGTGGATGAAGCATTAGAAAGATAAGGATTCTGCTGTTCTAAGACAAATGTATAGAAGGCAGAACAACTGAGCCTTAGAATGTACAATAAAAGGACGAGAGGTAGAATGAGTTTGAAGAGGCATAGTCCAATCCAATCCAACTTTATTTATATAGCACGTTTAAAAACAACAGAGTTGACCAAAGTGCTGCGCATGAATAAATATATAAAAAAGTGGGAGGGAGGTGTGTGGATAAAGGAGGTTAAGCTAAGGCATGACCTTGTTTCCTAAACACAAGATAATTTATGGATATTAATATTGTACTTGTGGCTGTTGGGTAACTTTTCATTACCCAGGATTGGCTAATTATGATAACTTCACAGTGTTGGAAATGACTTCTATTTGGAAAGCCTTAGGAGGCTCCCACTGCTAGACTGGCTACATTTAGTTTTGCACGAGTTACATTTCCCTTCTAGTGTGATGGTGAGTGCAAAGTTATTATTACCCGTAATCTCTTTATGCTCCGTTGCTTTGCTCTAATCTCCAGTATCCCACTACGAGGACGGTCGCCGTGGCAGCACCGAGGGCAGCGCAGACCGGGACAGCCTGAGAAGCTGCACCTACTGCTGCAGGCCAGCCAGTCGCGTTTGAGCCCAGCCTCCGGTTGTCATGGTGACATCGTATCCCTGGAGCGCCCAGAGCCCGCCCACCCGCCCGCCCAGTCTGGCCAGGAATGCAGAGTAGTTATCAGGCAGTGTCCACCAGAATACATCCACAGCCAGCAGGTCACATTGTGGAGAAATATACTGTAAGTCTTTCCCCCACAATACAAAATACAACATACACACATCCTCACTCAAGACACACAAGTTTTAACTTTTTTGTTTGTTGCAGAACAGAATGCAAGGCTGCTCCCGAGTAGACAGTGATTTAAAGAAAGGGCCAGTCTGCATGATGAGCAACCTAACATAGAGTTGTCCAGCTACAGCAGACAGGAGTCATTACAGTGTGTTCTGTAAAATATGTTGTTAGAAGGTTCCAGTCTTCTGGAGTTTAATCAAAGAATAGGCAGTGGCCCAAAGGCAGACTTCTCTATAATTTTTGTTCTCACATTATCTGTCACATCTACCTCTATTCATAATTAAGGTCAGTCTACATCCATCTGGCTCAGGCGCTCTACGTTACTGGCAGCCTTCTCCAAAAATCTGGCCAGACAGGGCACAAAGAAAAGGGAAACACTGAAAGCTACTCCTGCATGTCTTAATACTCCTTACCCCTCAATGTGACTCGCTCCGGTCGCTGACCAAGTAGCTGTTTAGTTGAATAGTGTTCATCTTGAGGCATGACTTCACTGCCGATGCCCCCCGCCCATTTGTTCTGTTTTATCACTTTTTTCACATTAAGTGTTTCTGTCCTTTTTATAAGTATTTAATTATTTTTTAAAGCTTTTTTTTTTTTTAATTGGAGGGTGATTCTGGGGACTTTGGACTCTATATTCTGGCTCAGACTGGGTTTGTGAAGAGCGGTTCTGACGTAGAGTGTGTGCATGCTTCTGTTGGAGAAAAAATATTGAAATAGATGAATATCAGAAGGAGACTTTTTGTTTTATGGCTGTTCTGTTAGGAGAGGCTCAAACTGAGATCCCTGTGCACCTGTAAATCGGAGGAATCGTATCTGACTATCCTCTGTGGGCTCACATCATTTAAGAAAGAAAGAGTTATGGGTTAGTGTTGCGAATCCACTTTGCGTGGGAAGAAAAAGATCATGCATCACCATGCACATTCTCCCTGTTCTGTTGCTGATAAGCGTCTAAATATTGTCCGGCTTATGCCGGGTCGGAGGGATCTCAGTCTGGGCGCTCCGCCTGCTCTGTGCTGTGCACCTCTAGTGGAAGAAGTTTTGGTCTACTGTTTGCATGACCTGGTTAAATATGTTTACATGAATGATGATCAATTAGTATAAACACACGATTATTATTACTCTGTTGTATTTAAAAATGATGTAATACTGTAATTTTGAGCTATATAATGTGAAGTGAGTAACACCAGAAGTAATGTTGTTGACAAAGTACAACACAGCACAGTGGACTTATCATTTGCATTTACTACGACGGTCAAGTCTCTACCCGAGTGACATTTCTCCTGTACTTTGTTTGTTTACAACTCAAATATTCTGTTTTCCTGTCGTTGCTTTTGTATTATTTATTTATTCCCTATTGATACCCAGGCACAAGCAGAAAAAAATACACATATCTTAATGAAACGCATGTGCCAGCCACAGTACAAAACATTACAAAATATATAGAGATGCTGGAAATATCACATGTCCGCCAAGGGTGTATTCTTCAGTGTGCATTTGTCCTCCTGGGTAGATGAACTGCAGTACTAAAGCCATACAGTAAAGTGGGGATGTTTAACTGTACATTCAGATATGTTGTCATCTTATAAATATATGACTTCAATTAAGGATGGCTATGATTTGGCACAATATTTAATGTAGAAAAAAACAAGACAAAATTATTAAATTCAAATCCAAACACTTAAATCCTGATATAAATCTCACCATATCGTTGTTGATTTAAGGTATGTCATGTCACCATATTATTAGTTAGCCGTAGAAATAATAAACAAATTCATGCTAGTTCCCTAAATCTGTCATTGACACTTACAGGTCCATAGTAGAATAAAAGAAGGCAATTACTCTGGATTTACATGACGGTAATTGTGGAAAATATGCAAACTGTGTGTGAAGGGCTTCATGTTAACTGTACGATAGCCAATGTTGATGAATTTGATAACTGGCTATTAATTGTTTGGTAATTACCTGTCATTGAACTTTCCCTGGGATTTGTTTCCATTTGGCTGTGTTTTTTTAAATCTTATTTTACCCATTACAACACATCTAAATTCATAAAGAAACACGTGTATATTATATATATAAATATAAGTATATATTGTATATCCTTTTTTGTAAAAGCTGTTTTGAGCTACAACTGTATGGATGCAATGCATCATGGGTTATTGGATAAGATGTAAGAAAATACAATGATTTGTACCCACTGAGATATGATTGCAGGAAATGAAATAAAACCTCCTTGTCTATGCATTGTGTGTTCTGTCATTGTTCAACAACGTCGAAATGTTGCATAAATCTGTGATTCGTAAAGAAGTGTAAGCGATTCAAACTGTTTTTAAACTGATATCACATTATATGCCAAATATAATGTATTCTCATAACTGAAAAAAATCTCACTTATTTGACCTCTTTATTTACTTATCAAACTACATTTCCCTTATATCGTGATCATTATGATAAGTGCTGATGGCCATTCCAAGACATATCATATTCAAATAAATATATATATATATATATTAGCTGAATGATTCATGTGGTAATAATTGGTATGATAATTATCATTTCATAACAAGATTCATGTATACTATCTTTTTTAATTCAATGTTCACCTCCTGCCATTCATAATAAAATAAATGTTCACAAAAAACACATTTTTATGACTTTTCCTGCATATATAATGACATTGGAAATACACTAATATGTCACAAGAACAAATGTATTGCATGTTATTGAATATCTTTTGTCAATGTAAACATTACTTAGGCACACTATGGACACAAGATATTATAATTGTAATCTCTTTTACACCAAATCTCATTGTGGACATCATTGACCTTGACAGACGAATGTACCCGATTGTTAACTAATATATGATACTACGCTTCTCAACATTATAAAATAGACCTTAAATAAAACAATGATATTTACAGGGTAAAGTGAATGCCCAAAAACACATTGCAAAATTACTTATTATACTGACATATGAGTCATTACAGATATTATAATTAGAAAACTGTAACCCATTACCATGTAAATTAACTTTAAAATGAAAACATATACATGTGCATCTACTGTGTTTACGTAATTCAGTTTTCTTCAATACAGTGATGTCTTAATAGATCAGTCATGTATTTCTCATCTATGTGATCCTTGATATTTAAAGACAATTACTTTACTTGACCTGTTTCACCTTTGCTCACTTAACCACTGGAACCATCCACTGTCACATGTCTTACTTCACCTTATCTGATTCTTATGTTAACAGTAACAGTGAAGATCAGTCTCTCCACTTATTATTCCCAACAGTCCATTGTGCTGACTTTCAACACAACACATGCACATACATACACTCAAAACGTCCACACTTATTTTCCTCATGCATCCAACACGGCTGTTCGTCTCAGTCTCTCTTTGACTCGGAGGAACTCTGGGCCCTCTCGCTGTTGTCCCTTGTCTCTCTCGAACTGTGGAGATATTAAAATACATTATGCAACATATTAGTTAAAAATCACTGTGTAGCCTATGCTTGTTTATGAGTATGATACATCTTAATATTTCGTATAACAGTTCATATCGTTCATATAACTAGATCATAAGTCATTATCAATGTTTTTTTTTCTTGTAGAAGCTCAGGCTGGACTTCTGCAGTGTCTGAGACAATGCCTGCACTGCCCCCCACTGGCTGACTGCAGAACTACATGATGCTCTTATCAATGTACTATATCTTCTGTGAAGAAATACTGAAAATGTAATGTATGACACACTCATGTTTGGTTTCAGAATATGTAAAGTAATTCAGATTCAAAGTCAATTCAAAATGTAATTGATATATTATGATGTTGGTATGAAAGAGTGTTAGGGAAATGAGAAGAAAAAGTTAGAGGAGGAAGAGGGCGTTTAGAATTTGAAGAATAATGTTGAGAATACAATGACAGTGTTTGAGAAAAAGGTTGAATAAAGTTGACATGTACAGAATAAGGTTATATGTTCAGTATTAGTGCCAGCCAGGACAAAAAAAAGAAGCTTTTTAAGAATAGAGTTGAGAGTTGAAAAAAATGTAGAACTCGAGAAACTATACTCAAAAATGTTTTTTTAAACAAAACAAGAAAATGCTAAATCAATAAAAAAACGTCATGCATCCATTTGCTTCCCCTTGTGCCTGGCCCTACTGTATACTCTTACTTTGATTTGATTGATAGATCTTGACAAGATATTTATTTTTATTTTTAACTCCTGTGTGCAAACCTTTTCTAGCCTCTGTTGTCTTTTGAGCAGTTCCTGATGAAATGGTGATCTGCTCCTCTTCGCTTCTTCCTGATCCCTGCTCGCCTTCACCCTTTGTTCCCATCTTCTCTTTTCTAAAGCCCTCTGGAGTTCAGTCTTTCCTTCTTGGTGCACTCTGCTGACAGGAACACAGAAGGACCTTATAACTCATAAAACAAACGAAGGTGAAGAGTGAGTGTTTTTACTAGAGTCTGTGTTACTTTAACAACCTCTTGTGGGTCATCCGCAGTTCTTTGTGGAGCTCCTGGTGGCTCTTGGAGGCTGTTAAAGGATTGAGAGGTTTTTGGGGTCTGATGAGATTACTGTTCTCCTCCTCACTCTGTAGTTGGGACAGAGAAGCCTGGAGCTCCCAGTATCTGTTTGGCTGTTCAAGTTTTTGTATCTGCATTACTGAGGCAAAAGAGAACAAAACATACAGACTATATATTTTCCAGTACGATATAGCAATAAAGGACACAATTCACATTTGACACCATATTTCTTCATAGAGTGATAACAACAATGCTGAATAAATAACCCCTTACATTGTATTAAAATCACATGGCAAGTATCTCCTCAAGGACCTACCAAACTTTATTATTGATACCACCAGATGAAATAAACATTTGATCAGCTCATCTGTCTGAAAAAAACCTGATTGCCTTTTTGCTTATCTCCAAGCCTCAAATGACTGAAAAGCCTCATGTATTAACAGAGGGAGGGACACAGGTATTTACAGTGCTCTTCCTGATATCAAGACCTCTGGAAATACCACAAACGGCAGCCTCACATAGTCATGAAATGACATGGAAACCTGCCTTGGGAACTGTACAGTTAAAGGTCATAGGCTATTATGCAAAATCAACTTTTCCATGTCTTTTCTACATAAACATGTGTCCCCTCTGTGTAAAGAGATTCTGAAAGTTTCAGGAAAAAATATTTGCTCACTTTTTGTCCTGACCCATTTACAGTATATAAAAACCTGTCTGAAGATGAGCTGATCAGATTTTGGCCACCTTGATGTCATAACGATGTTTTTGGCTTGTGTCACCATTAACCAATAACAAGCCAACCAAGGTAACACCCCCCACCTTATCACCTGAATCTCCTCCTAGAGCACCATTGTGTTATCACATTGGTGGCGTGGGGAGGGGCTCCTTATTTTCATCTAAAGTAAAAGACAGAGAATCAGCACTTTTGAAACAGGACTGAAACAGAGGGGATTATGGGATGCTACAATGCATTATCTGTTTGGTATTTGGAGCAAAACACTTCAGAGACATGTTTTGTATATATCTGAGACCTATAATATATTGAAGAAAAACTGTATAATAGGCAACCTTTAAAGTCCTACAAACCCTGTGGGTATATGCACTGGTAACTTACTTCTTGCCTGCTGTAGGGCATTCCATCACTGTAATCTTACTTCATGTCCTTTGTGTGCTCAAATATAACAACAATGACTAAACTGTAAAAAGTGTAAAGTAGTTAGCAAACATTAGCCACCAAAAGCTATTGGTCATGCAGACCAAGTAACAGAAAATCTGTGTTTTGTCGATAAAGGATTCATATATTAATTTGGTTAAGTCACATTGTGTTATTATTATAATCAAAATGTACATAGTCTTGCTTTAAAACAAATTTTACAGACATTGCTTAAAAAACTCTGGTTGACACTTTTACTCTTTAATGACGCTTAGAATAAAGAAAATTGCTTCAAAAGAAAATACTACTGTGACTACAGATCCACCTTTATCTGTGCCACCTCTGCCCAGTTGTTATTCCCATAAAGTCACAGTTTACCCCTCCTTTTATGACAATGAAAATAATCTTAACAGACAGATCTCTCACCAGACACGTTCAGGTGCTCCTCTGGAGGATGTTGAAGATCTCTCTGTCATGTCAAATAGAATAAAATATGAAAATGTGTTAGTATTATTACCAATGTATTTGTTTTTTTATATAAAAGAGTGTGCATAGTGTGACACACAATTGCAGATAAACGATACACCTCTCAGTCTGTCACCAATGCAGTTTCATGCAAATGATAGAGAGAGAGAGAGAGTTGAAAGCATCACAAAGCCGTTTTATGCGACGGACAAATGAAGTGTCATCTCTTGTTCCACATGTCCAGTGAAGCGAGAGCCCTGACGGTGGAGGGCTGCCACCTCATTAATGACAAGGATCAAACAAAACACAGTCTGATTCCCACTGAAACTCTCATTTGCTGGAGTTTGAGCAGAAATAATAGTCGAGACAAGAGTGATTCGTTTGTTTGGACTCGGACAGGACTGCTGAAATAAGTTATTCATTTGGTTTCTGTTGTTGGATAAACGACTGTAGATAAATTATGGCAAACTTCTTTTTTTTGCTCTGAGCACAATCTACTGGTTACATTTTCACTGATCAATGTACGTGTTACATAATGTTTGTTGTGGCTTTGGCATGAGTTGCCATTCAGCTGCAACTTGGCTGAATGTGTTCCAAAACCTGCTTGAATTATTCAGATAAAGTAAAGTTTAAATAAATCTTCAGAATGAGAATAAGGTGCAATCTTGCTGAGGCATTTGAATGACAAGTTTGCTGCTGGCAGCGGTTCGGTTGAAGAGGGAAAAGTCATGCTGTTTGGCCAAGGCTTAGACAGTGGATATTTTGTGGCGAGAATTAATTGGACATGACGGGGAAAACACTCTCCAGGGCTTACTTTCCAGTGTTGGCAAGGCTTGTTTTACAGGATACAAATCTGTAGTTGGTTTAAGCCCTTGCTTTCTTTGGGAAATAAAAAGTAGAGATAACAATAACGGATCAGGAAACTGTCCAAAAAAAGAAGCTTAAAGGTGATCAAGAACACACATTTAAAACATAGTTTTGGTTTTTCATGATCTGTTAGTGTCTTCTCTAACACACAAGAAAGTATTTTGACACATGGATTCTTCTGCTGGATTATTTTAACAGCACACGTGTTAAACGTGTTTAAAGAGAAAGACAGAGAAAATAAATGAAGAATATACATTTACAAACGTACCTTCTTTCCATGTGCGACCCCCATGTCGTCGGTCTGAATCCAGATTCAGTTTCTGCACAGTGAACTCACAATGGACAGAGTTGTGATAATAATTTGAGGTTGCTCTCCCTCTCCCTCTCTCTTTCTACTCCATCAGCCAATGACGCCAGAGAGAGCAAACTGTTCTGTGTTCTGACCAATATCGATGCTACCAGGGAAGCAGCGACCGAGTGGAAGACACACCCTGGAGAACAGGCCAAAAGTGCTGGAAGAATATTCAATGAACAAGTACTTCATTTTAAAGTACACTGCTGTTGTTAAACATTAAGCTGGTTTAAATATGTCTGGTTTAACTTCTTCAGCTCCAGAGAGGTCAATGTATACAACATTGCATGAATAAAATAAGCTTTGGTGAAATGCTAATTCATTATACAAATTTGTTTATCAGAAACTTATTTTAAATAATTGTTGTTCTCTCAATCATTATCTCAAGACCCTTCGCATTGTTGATTTGCCCCTTTGGAGGTGGCTGGACCCCGATGTGGGACAATAAGATGAGCTTTACATACACAGAATAGCGGCACCTTGACCAGCTCTGCTCAAATTCAGTTTTTTCTTTTCTTTTTTCTTGAATCTGTTCATTTTTAGACTACGGGTGTATATGTTCCCCTGCCCAGGTGTGCTGCCAGGTGCACCTGGAAGTCTTAAAGCTCCAGTGCCAGCAGAAGGGGGCTCTGGCGGGGGGACTGCTGTGTTCCTGCCTCACATCCCAGGATGGATATTTGTGTCACATGTTTGATTATAATAAATCCTATGGAGTTGATCATTTTAAAGGTGTCTGTGTTGTATTTGGGTCAGTGGTGGAATTGTGTTATCCCCATAGGGCCACGGTTACCTAAGGGTGGGGCGTAACACACTGTATATGTATCCAAACTAAAGATAAGGTTCTGAACCTCTTTCTCCTCTGGTGTACAGATTGAAATGGAAAACTAATACATGTGTTTCCATGTTAAGAACAATACTGTAGCACATATTTGTTCTGCCTTTTTTTTAGCAGAACAAATATTATACATGCCAAAACTCTTGGGATATTCCTCATTCCTCCATAGATAGTTTCAAAATATCCAGTCTCCTTTGTCGATGTTGAACTTTGTCAATGGGTCAATTTTGCACAACTTTTAATTCCTTGAATTTTTACTTTGCATTTTATATTAGAATAAACAGCACTAGTCAAGTCCAGTCAATTTTATTTAGATAACCCAGAATCATTAATGACAAATTTGGCTCAGACGTCTTAATACTAACTCTAACTAAAGCCACAAGTAAACTATAATGCAGTTACTCAATGCGTCAAATACATTGTGAATAAGTAATATTGGATTTCCACAGTGAAGTCCTAAATAAGTCACGTTCTCCTTTTCATCACGAAACTTTTCCATCAGTATGGTTCCTTGGGTAGCAGCCAGACAGCTCCACAGCCTCCGGCCAATCTCCATAAACGTTGGTGCTCTCATCATTAGCAGCTTGCTGACGGGTGGGACAGGGAAGAAGACATTGCTTTTTACATCAATTATCTTACCTTTACTGGTTTTTTACTTTAAGTGTTCTTTAAAATAGATGTCTTTTCTGACACAAATGGAGCAGGCTCACTAACCTTCTCAAAGAGGCTTTTGTTGTCTCTCCCTGCTCTTCCAGCAAACACCCAGTTATCTCTGCGCTTCACAGACGTGATCAAAGTGCTTCCCATTCCGACAAACACCTCCCTCATCTCGTCTGTCATTCTGCCACAAAGTAGTAAAAGAGGGTCATGTGGTGTGATATGAAACCGTGTCAGCTTTTGAATCATTGAGATATGGACTTACTTTGCTGTCACATCATCAAACGAGGCCACCAAGACAATCATTCCAGGATATATGTTCTTCAGGTATGCCAGGATGTCATCTGCATCTTTTGATATTAAAAAACATCATCTGAAGGTTTCAATTACACTTTTTTATTTAAAACAAGAACAAAAAAAACTAAGAAAACTCTTACTTCCAATTTTCATATTAAGGTAGGCAATTGTTTCCACATCTCCAAGTTTCTCTGGAAGAAAAACAAGTTATTTCATATCAATAACGGACCAAAGTAGATCCTCAACTCAACTTGACTGAAGCCTTTGATCATATCACATGATCTTCATCAGCAAATGGCATTTACCCGATTGTTATGGAAGTAAAGAAGTTATATTATCCTATTTTAGGAGTACTTCAAGGTTTTTTCCCATTTCATGTGTGATGAAAATCATAGAATAGGACCACAAGCTCCAGTACAGCTGGTAAATTAACCTTAGACAAGATTGTTTTAAAAACTGCTGCATCCAAGTTCAAAACTCAAATATAATCGTAAAAGAGCTCTGAAGATGTCATCAACATATCGTATACTTCAATTTGTTTTTGTATTATGCAGATGAAGTGACATACATGTCCCTGAGAGCAACACAGAGGATTTATTGTATTGTGAATACAATGGTTTGTCTTACAACCGGAAATAGCAGTTTCTCTATTTTAGTTCTTTAAATAAACTGTTGCCTATAACGTTGTAATAAAAAAAAAATTCTGACCTCTTCTCAAGAAATGATTGTGTAAATAGGAATAAAAATAAATTTGTCTAAAAACTAAATAATTCCAACAGTGTATATGCTGACTTAAAGTTCCCCTATTATACTGTTTTTCATCAATATATTATAGGTCTCAGATACAAAACATGTCTCTGAAGTGTTTGGCTCGAAATGCCAAACAGATCATTTTAGCATCCCATAATCCCCTCTGTTCAGCCCTTT